TTCTCATGAGTTAATTCACCTGAGTTACTTATTTAGTTATTTTGAGATATTTGGCATGGCATACTTTTGAATATTACTATTTTGAGCATGGTTTTGAGATATTTATATATTCTATTTTCTGGGAAATTATACAGGTTTTACGGCGAGGGGTTACTATCTTTGATGTTGAAATGGTTTTGGAAAACTTTGTTTTTGCCTATTCACATTTTCTCTTTTGCGCCCCTCCAGGTTTTAGGTAGGAATGCTTGTTGGTGGCTTACGAGGATTTGACGAAGGTTCTAACAAATTATCACCAATGTAGGATCACCTTTGGGTGTTGTATAATTAGTATTCGTCATACTGGACTACACTTAGGCTACTTATGCTCTGGTTGTGCAATCACAATTCATATTGCACTTGCACCTTATCTTATATAGTGCTCTAGTTGGTTTGGTTTTTGTTTATTCGCATTTCATATATTAATATTGCTTCCGCACTATGCACATGGCTACGTCACCCTCACGTGACGGCCAACATGCCTCGATCTAGGTCGGGGTGTGTCAGTTTGAGTTTGGTATCAGAGCCAATCCTTGGCTGGAAGTGTGCCGACAAGGACATCAGGCCCCTAAGGGGGGTGAATTGTAACATCCCACATCACCCAGGGGAGTGGATCATGTAAGCCTTATATGTATATTCCCATCTCTACCTAGCACGAGGCCTTTTGGGAGTTTACTGGTTTCGGGTTCCATCTGAACTCCGAAGTTATGCGAGTTCGCATGAGAGCAATCCCATGATGGGTGACCCACTGGGAAGTTCTCGTGTGAGTTCCCAGAAACAAAACCGTGAGGGCGTGATCGAGGCTTAAAACGGACAATATTATGCTACGGTGGAGTCGAGCCTGGGATATGGTGGGGGGCTTGGGCCGGGATGTGACATTTTATGTATTTAGTGAATTATTTTTTACACAAATCAATATACAAAGAACCAAATATTAGAGAATTTTAGGGCCCCACTTCGAAGGTTCGCCTAATGCCCCCAAATTCTCAGGATCGACCCTAGTCATTCACTAGTGAATATTTTTATGTAATTTTCTTTTTTTATCTATAAACATTTTACGAGGGTACTTACCAAACTTCTAACTCAATATTTGGCTATATGAACATGATGTATTCAAATTTAAACATGCTTTTGCACCTAGTTTTACGGCGTAAAGTTCTGGAAATACCTTCGTAATGGATCCACTTTTTTATGGATTTTTTTTTCTCATGTGATTCTTTTCTCTTTCAATATTGGGCTAAATTGCCAAAATGGTCCCTGAGATTTGCATAACTCATCACTTTGGTCCTTGAGATTGTCCACCATCCATAATTTTGGTCCTTCTGTTAAAAACTCCGTTAAGTGTCCCGGAGCTCTTGGCCGGAAGTTTGGGCAATTTTCAAAGCTTCGTAACTCAATCGTTTCTTAACCAAATTCGACTCATAATATATCAAAATGAAGATAGGAAGTGTAGAATAAGATTATACCTATTTTGAAGCCCAATGGTTACCGGAGATGGCCGGAAAATAGCCTCAAAGTTGACTGGTCCGAGCGAAAACTGGAAAACTCGCCGGAAACTGGGTAAACTTTAAACGTTCATAACTTCTTCAATACTCAACGAAATCAAGTGATTCAAAAAATTAAAATCATACTTCTCAACGAGACAAATAGAATGGTACCTTTTTCGATTGCTAGATCGTCGTGGTTTTGCCGAAAACGGCTCGAAAATGGCTAACTCGAGACCAAGACAGCCACTTTCGAGCCATTTTCCGACCAAACTACGGCGATTTAGCCATCTAAAAAGGTACCATTCTCTTCCTCTCGTCTAGAAGTATGATTTTCATTTTTGAATCACTTGATTTCGTTAAGTATTGAAGAAGTTATGAACGTTTAAAGTCTACCCAGTTTCCGGTGATTTTCCAGTTTTCACTCGGACCAGTCAACTTTGAGACTATTTTCCGGCCATCTCTGGCAACCATTGGGCTTTGAAATAGATATAATCTTATGCTACACTTTCCTATCTTCATTTTGATATATTATGAGTCAAATTTGGTTAAGAAACGATTGAGTTAAGAAACGATTGAGTTACGAAGCTTTGAAAATTGCCCAAACTTTCGGCTAAGAGCTCCGGGACACTTAACGGAGTTTTTAACGGAATGATCAAAATGATGGATGGTGGACAATCTCAAGGACCACTTTTATCGATTTGGAATCTCAGGGACCAAAGTGATGAGTTATGCAAATCTCAGGGACCATTTTGGCGATTTACCCTTCAATATTGTGACAGGGCTCCTTGTGTGAAGCAAGGCGTGCTGCTGCTTTAGCGCGTGGGGATGATGTGCTTCAAAGTACCTTTAAAAGAGATATCAAAAAGTTCAAATAAATAATAACGGTAAAAAAAAAGACAGCAGTAATGTTTTCTGATCGAGAAGCTAAATTTGACATGGCATGACATGAAATGACATCTTTTCTCTTGCTGCCAAATTTGACAGTTGCTTTAAAAAATTATAATTAATTATTAAATACTTTTTATTAATTTTTTATTGGTTTAATTAAACCCTTGCCTTTTAATTTATTTTCATTACCAATGCAGTGTTTAAATATTTTTATACTTTTAATGCATTTTCTTTCATTACCAATGTGATGCGTAAAATAACTAAACACACAAATTAAACCCTCTTGTTGACAATTGTAGTATGAATAAGTAGGGATCGTTCTAGACCGGGGATTAGGAGGGATTGCTAAACACTTGAAAACTGACTTAGAAACGTAAAAACAAAGTTTAAAACACTAGATTAGACTCAAAGAATGCAAAACTAAAGTTTAAAACACTAAAACAAACCAAAAACTCAAAACAGCAACCAAAAGACTCAAAACTGCCTTAAAAACACTTTTTGGGCAGTTTTGAGCACGAAGCACCAAATTGGACGAATTTGGGTTTTAACTTGTACCAAAACACTTAAAAACATAAACCAAAACATTTTCTAACCAACCTAGGACTTCAAAATAAATGGGGATTTGATTTGGACGAAAATAAACTAACAAAACAGATTGCAAAGTAAAAACAGATTTGAAAACGATTTTGGGGTTTTAAATGGATGATGGATTAGTTAGAGGCTCTTTCTCCACACATAACAAGTATGCAAACGACTCGATTTCCAGTTATTCCTTCATTGAATTATGAATGACAATGCCCCAAATTAACCGTGACATCACTAGTTAATTCTCAAGTTTTCCTTGTGTTATTGGATTGGATGACATCATTCAACAACCCAAAGCATTCCTCAAAAGTTCCCTACATGACATCATAATAAAGATACAATCAAAGATCATTACGTTCAATGAAAACTATAAGCATTGACAAAGCATTTGCAACTATGACATCATGTCACTCATGCTAGGAATTGGATTTAACGCGATCGTGACTAGCGACCTTCACTACATATGAATATAAGTGTGTGACGATTATGTGAAACAACCTTATATTCTAGCATCATATTCATGCAAGCCAATTAAGTGTCGACCCCTAATTAACAAACACAAATAAGTTATTACTCGCACAGTTAAGCCAATTGCATTCACGATTCAAGAACTCATAACTGGAATTTATCAAATCAAATTGCACACATAGTCATGGCTTTGAAATCACCCCTAACCAATAGGGGTTTAGCCACTCATGTTCATAGCAAAACGAAAGGAAAAGAAATTAAACATTGAAATCATAAAACGAATTACACCTAGAATGCACCAACGATGAAGCTTGAGCATCCAAGAGTCCTTCCTTCTTTCTCCTTGCTACGGCACAAAGGTGGGTGAAGTGTTTGGGATGTGTTTTAGGGTCAGAAGTTATGGAATTAGGTGAATGGTGGGCACGGCAAAGGTGTAGTGATGGCTGAAAGTTTGTAGAATTGTGTAAGGTTGTGTGAATTGGTGAATGGTCCCCCTAAGGCTGCGGCAAAGCTTGGTATTTATAGAACAAGGCTCCAAAATAAATTAGGTAATCAGAAATTAAACTAAAACTTAAAGGAAATAGGAAATTAGAACCAAAATACTAAGGGAAATAGGTTAAAGGGTGCGGCAAAGGCTTAGAAAGGGGTAAGTGTCCTAAAACTAAAGGGAAAGGTGATTCCTTGTGCGGCAAGGCAAGGAAATTGGTGGGAAAGATGCGGCTGAATCCTAAGACTAAGGGAAAGGGTTTTTCAAAGTCCTAAGGGGAAAAGGAAAGGTTTTTACATGGTTTAAGGATAGGGAAACATAGCAAGGGGATTTGTTGCAACAAGGGAGACAAGGAGGGAACACAAAGGGGACAAGGCGCCACCTTTGTAGGGATGCTTCAATTTGTATCTTTCTTTGTCTTCCAAGCTTCCAAACTGATTTCTTATGTCTTCTAACACCTTTCTAGCCTCATTTGATCTTCAATTTCGTCCATCTTTCTTGCTCCATGCATATGCAATCCAAATAAGTCGCATAAAAATGCTCCTATCACAATGCAAATATATATATATATATATTAATCTTTATTTTATGTTTAAAATTTGACATGTTGGATGAAAAACAAAACTTTAAAAGATGTCAAAGTGCCACATAACTTGTCAAATGTAAATTTTATATAAAAAATTTGACATCTCTTTTGGAGATGGTCACTCAAGGTATTTACAGAACTGGCTTATCGATACAAGGGAACCTCAAACCTCTTGTTTTTTAAGGGGTAATGCTATATAGACTAAATTTATAAACAAAATTTTGTAAACTAAATGACATGAAAGTTGACGAGTGAATTATTGTTAAGTGTTGATAAATATGCTCATTTTCCATTGGTGACACATCGTTTAGTTTGCAAAATTTGTTTATAAATTTAATCTCCCTAGCACTGCCCTTTTCTAAATCTTCTATATTTTCATTTGTTACATTGGTTCGATATTATGTTTCAAGGAGGTGGATAAATTAGACACGATTTACACCGACGGGAACAAAATACAAGCAACTCAGAAACAAGAAAATATTAGACTATCAAATAGAGCAAATAAGAGGCGGGCGGCATTGAAGACTACAGCTATGTTTCTATTTGCCTCTCGAAAAATTCATATAAAATGAACAATTGGAATATGAGAAATCTTTGGCCATTCTTCTCCTGCGTCACGTTGGCATCTCCTCAACATATCAGGACAGTCTATTATCACAAGATGTGTTAAGGCAGTGAGGCGATGCATCTCCTCTGGCAAAGACAACAGTTTGGGACATGATCCGAGGACAAGCCTTCTTAGCGATGTGAAACTCGTCAACCACCCAGGTAATGCCACCAAATTCTCACAATCTGATATAACCAAGACTTGTAGGGTGTTTGTGGCTCCTTGAAACCATTCAGGCAATGCCACCATTCGTGGTACTCCCACAATCCCCAATTTTTGGAGCCTTAGTGGAATTACTTGATAGTTTTCCATCACCAAATCAAGTTGTTTACAGTTGTCTATGATCAGAGTGCGTAATGATACAAGATAACTAGTATCACACGGCAAACACGTTAGATTACTACACTCCCAAATAGAAAGATATCGAAGTGATTTCAAGCATCCCACTCCATTCTCTGGAAAACTTGTTTGTTTTGTGGTTAATTCAAGGTATCTGAGGCTGATCAACTTGCTCATGTCTCTAGGCAACTCTTCAAGATTCACACATCCACCAAGATGCAGAGTTTGCAAGCTCTGCAACTTACAAATTGAATTGGGTAGTCCAGTGATTCCTCCATTGTCAGTGAAGTCCAGGCTTCTCAAATGCTTCAAAGAACCAACGGAACTCGGCAACAATTCCCAAGATACGTTGACTAACCTAAGAACCCGTAGATATTTGAACCTTGAAATGCAAGTGCGGAGGAAGGATTCATCAATATTTTTACAACTCACTGCTGATATAGTCCGCACTTTGTTCAACTTTTGCAAGATTCTTGAAACATTTTGGCCAATTTCCAAAAATGTTAGATGTCTAACATTTTCAGAGAGGCCTATGGTGCCTTCAGAGTCTACTGTAAAACTCTCACCTTGTGCAACTGATTGTACAAGGTCATGGATGAGATCATGCATATCAAATGTATAGCAGAAAGTGCAATCTTTAACATTTTGAAAGAAAGATCTCTCCCATAACTCTTTGAAAAACAGTTCACCAACATCTTCCAACTGCATATTTCCATGATCACGAGATTCAAGGATTCCATGCGCCATCCAATGACTGATTAATTCCCTGCTATCAAAATCAGTGTAATTCTTTGGAAGAATTGAACAGCAAGCAAGGCACTGCTTCAAATGAGAGGGCAATTGACTATAGCTCAATCTCAAAGCAGGTAGAATGTGACCAGCACCCTCTCGTTCTAATTCCCATATTTCAGAATCTTTAATCAATTTCCACTGACGCTCATCAGTCTTTGAGTAAAGTTGGCTCCCTAAGGTTTTAACAGCTAAGGGAACCCCTCCGCACTTTCTTACAATATCTTTTCCCATTTCATAGAGGATTGGATGTTGTCTTTCTTGTCCTCCTTCAAATGCACACTTTACAAACAAAGACAAACTATCCTCAAAAGAGAGAACGTCCAAATTTATGTATGTTCCAACCGTGCCCATGATTGAAGCAACTGGGATATTCCGTGTCGTCACCAAAATCTTAGTTCCTACCTTGGCCCCCTCTATCAACAAATCTCTCAACTCGGTCCATTTGATACGATCTTCGTTCCACACATCATCCAAGACAAGCAAAAATTTCTTATCCTTTAAAGCGTCTCGTAGCTGTTCTTGCAAATGATCCATAGACAACCCTTCACTGATCCTTGTACCTAATGCAGAGCCAAGGATCTCTTTTGCCAATCTAGTGATATCAAAGTCTACTGACACATTCTGCCACATTCGTAAATTAAAACAACCAACGACTCTCTCATCATTGTACACCAACTTGGCAAGTGTGGTCTTCCCTAAACCTCCAAATCCCACTATAGGAATAACAGATACATTCCGATTACCTTGATGATCATCGCCTTGTACCAGAAGATCTACAACTTCATTTTTTTCTGTTTCTCTACCAATAACCTCCGAAGCGCGGACAAAGGAGTGGGTCGTATTACTATTCTCCCTCACATGATCACAGAGATGAACAGTGCGAAGATCAGCAAAATTCTTATCTTCTTTAAGCTCATGTAACCTCTCTCTTATGTCCTTAATTCCCTGACATACTCCTAAGCGGAACGCAACTGGATTAGAGCGGGAAAAGAAACGGCGTACCTTTCTAGTTGTGCCACTGCCACGAACCACTTGCCTTCGCAAAGCTTCGCATTCAAACTCGTCCAACAGATCCTCTGCATCAAGGAACGCATCTTTAAGTTGTAGTAGCCAACTGCGTAACTCCTTGTTACGTGCTTGCTTTTCTTCGGCATCCAAGAGCACGTCTTTGATGGTGGACATGGTGCGCCCAAGCTTTTGCAGATCAGCTTTAACGCCCCACGCCAAGCAAATCTCCTCAGAAGCAATGGGGCTGAGCCTTTCAATGAGTTTGGCTGCCAACGGAAATGCAAGCTCGGCCATTTTCTACTAGATGAGGTGAGCTCAAGGTAATTGAGATTTCCGTCTTAATTCAGTAATGATTCTGGATCTTAGCTAAGTTATGATCAAACTCTTAATATGCTTTTGAAAAATCAACAATTATAAAGAGAGACTTGTAATATAATATTTTTCATTTTGTTTGTTAAGAAAAGTTGGGAATATTAGGAAATTACCAAGTGGTTACTGGCAAGTCGATAGTGGGGAGGACCATTGTTTAATCGAATACCGTGGCCGTCCACAAATACACAATGTCTGGGGCTGTCCCCACTCACCGACTTGTGTGTCTTATTTGGATCAATCACTTTGGTCTAGAATTTCTCCTACCATGAGGTTTGGTTTGACAATTTAGTGGATTAAAGAAAAACGGATAATAAAAACAGAGGTTCGTTTACACCAACACAGAGTCATTTACTTTTGTCTTGGAAATTATTACCCACTCTTGTTTTCTCCTTCAGCACTCTACTTTTTCTTGGCATTTGATTTATTTAATTCAACGGTTAAGATAAAAAATTATGGCATTATCTACACATCAAATTTTACCTTTTGTATAATCTTTTTTAATTTTTATTATTTGATCTTCATTAATTCATTTGATCTGACAATCAGAAAGTAAGAATTGCATTGATAATACCACTCTTAAAAAAAGTGTTGAAAGATTTTCTTATCGCCCATCTGACACCATCGCGGCAGTAGGTAGGTCTGCATATATCATACAAAAACAAGAATAAGTAACAAAAATAAAACGGAGTAGGTAGGCTTTCATATTCAAGTCCGGAAGAACAATCTGTGCAAGGGCAGATTATTGAAGTTGACGTTTGGGGTCTGCACTTCGGACTCTAGCTTAATGAAAAAGGCACATTTATATTAAGTATCGAGATGCACTCAACCTCTGCTGTGTTATTGTTGAACCAATCTGTATAAGGTACTTTTCACCCTCTCGCCACCCTTTTGAAGGGTTGCAGGGATATGATGAGACAAATTGCGCATTATGAGCTAAAACATATTTCCAGGAAATTGAACAATGTTGCAGATCAGCTAGCTGAATGAAGCTAGGATTTGGACCTTTGTTTGTATATTTTTGAGCTTCCTCCCCAATGGTTTATGCAACATTTAATAGATGATATTGTAGGAGCTTCTAAGGCCGCTCTATTTATATTAATGATATGGTATAGTTTGGTCCGAGTGTCTTCACTCCCTTTGTTCACCAAAAAAGCAAAGAACAAATCAATAACTTGTGCTAATTGTTACATGGATAAATTATATTTTACCCTCTCAGGTTTGAGATCGATTTTAATTCCTTACAACATCTTTAAAACATTTCAATTTCATACATTTTCTTATCCTTTTATTTCAATTTCATACATCCATTAGAAAATCCATTAAGTAAACCATTAAGTGATGACATGACAAATATAGAATCTACATTTGTATTGATGTGGTTGCCAAATTTATGATACCTGACAAAAAAAAATTTTTATACATTTAAAATATTATAATAATTTACCCTATTTAATATATAGATGTAAACCATCTTCTTTCTCGAGCCCTTCCCTTTTCCTGCAACCCAAACACCCCATCCCCCACCCCACCCAAAACCCCAAAAAAACCCAGCTGTTCACCCCCCCCCTCCCATCCAAAAGAACCCACCACAAACTTCTCCGACGCCGCATCCACCGTCTTCTCCTTCAGCAGAGCTCTGCCGCGCCCTTTGACCAAATCGAGATTTGGGTCGACCTCATCGGCGCCGTCGACCCAACTAGCGAGCTTGGTCCTCCGTGAGCATGGAAGTCGGGACTCCAACAATGCCCCTCAATTCGCTGGATTTGAGGAGCTCGCCGAGCTTAGAGACCACGAAGGTGGAGGTGGAGCCGATGCCGAGGCCTAGGACCATTCCCGATTTGACGTACTTGACAGCCTTGTCGGCGAGCTTCTTGAGGCATTGTGGGGGGATATGAGGGATAGGGAGGAGGAAGCCATTGGCAAGGTGGAGGGAGAAGTGGGTCGGGTGTTGCAAAGAGGTGTGGGGGAAAGAAGCGGATATGGGTGTGGGTTTGTTTTTTTTATAAATAAATAGTGTAAATTATTATAATATTTTTAATGCATAATAAATTTTTTTTGATCACGTAACATAAATTTGGTAGCCATGTCACCTCTTAACAGATCAATAGATGAAAAATGTAACAGATGTATTATATTGAAATCAAATAATATGTGAGGTATGAAAGTAAAATGTTTTGAAAATATTGTATAAGATTGCAATAAATCTCAAACCTGAGGTGGTAAAATGTAATTTACCTTGTTACATTTGTGCCTCCTGATGTTTTTCCTTTTTTACATCAATGGGGAGGAAGATAAAAAAAAATGGAGCTCTTTCGATGTTGAGAAAAGTCTACTTGCAACAATTTTATAAGTACGTTTAGTAAATTTGTTGAAGCACTCAATCTTCTTCTAATGCATATTAGAGTATTGACTATTTTATTGTACAATACTGATGAAACAAGCCTAGGCCAGTCTCACTTCTTCTATTTTTTTATTTTTTTTATTTTTTTGGAAACACACCAGTCTCACTTTTGTTCTTGCCTTTGTTATCAATCACAAACAAATGGACAAGGCTTGGTTGTTGTTGTTAGAGAAAATACAAAGTTCAATATCCATGTTGCTCCTCCACACACCTCATCGGTCGGCAACAACCAAACCCAGCACGGCCAAAAGGTAAAGCTCACTGATCCCGACCCGGAATGCAGTTCAAGTTCAAATTTTTTAGGCATATATTTGATATGCCTTATGAAACTCAAACTTAATTCCATTCTCTTTAGAACAAAAATATCGCCATTTTGCCTTTAAAACTAGATTTTGCTTCACTTTGCCGAGATTCTGTCCATTCTGTCAAAATGTAACGAAATGTGTTGACATGGAAGGGTACATCAGTAATTTAATCCTAGTTGGCAATTAGGGTTAGATTTGTAAAGATGGCATGGCAATAATTTTTGCACATTATAATCATAAACCCAAAAGACTATAAGACAAAAGATCATACTTGCAAAATATTAGCCAAATCTAGTTGTTTTTCATTTCCCAATTCTACCTGAAGTTTCTTTAGTTGAACTTCTCGGTGATATCAGTTTTGTTTGAATTGTCTTTCCACATTAATATAAGAGGTATTTTAGTTGTGTGCCGAATCTGCCGATTCCTATTGCTTGTAGGAGTGCTTCTATTTTATCGGTTCAACCAAGTCTCATCTCTTAGTGTCAGTTACTTTGAGTACTTAATGGATTCACCTGAGGCCATAATCGTATAAATGAATAAGTGATTGTCATTTTACGAAAGTAGTTTTACCGTTGAGGATCTCAAATGACTATTTTAAAAGGAATCTTTGATGCTGAAATCAACTTCGTGGTGGACAATGGCTTTAGTTGAATTGGTTTTTGTGCTTGAATTCAGAACATTTTAATTTTATGCTTAATTTGATATTTTCAGTTCTGGAATTTAGCACTTGTCTTCGTTTGTTGCAGTTCGGGCATGATTAATTTGAAGGAGCAATCCTTGATCAGTGGAAAAGCTGCTTGGATGGCCTACTTGGTATTTACTTAGAAACCTGGAAAATCATAGGTCTCAATGGCTCTGGCACTTTTTGGGGTGTCATTGTAGGATATATATTAGAATAATGTACGATTTGTATCATGCAAGACATATATTGTTTGGATGCTGATGGCGACCTTTTCAAGCCCCTTTGCTGTCAGCAGTTGCTGCCTTTTTTCACTCTAAGTGTTACAACCATCAGTTGTTGCGCAGGGTATGTTCTGAATTCATCTGATACTTGCGTAAAGTTTGATGATGGTGAAATCGTCAGTAGTTATAATTAGTAGACTGGAGAACGTTAAACCGCCAATTACCCATCCAAACTGTCACAAGGCTGCCAATTACCCCTGGAACTGTTTTTTTTTTCTTTCGATTTACCCCCTTAACTAACATAAGACAGTCAAATAACACTGTCATTGGATTTGAGAGAATTTCATCCAAATTTCCGTTTAGTGGTGTCATGTGAGAGACACGAGACACATTTTCGAGTCCAACATCGATCTCTGCTCTCTCTGTCCCAAATAACTGTAATCTTTCCTGTTGGTTGCTCTAATTCGACTTCTACATGAAGGGAAGGTAGAGGGAGGAGATATATCATAAGCCTTCAATACCTTGCTTGTTCTTCTTTATGCTTTAGATGAAACCATTCCTCATTCATAAGTATCTGATTCTTGTTTTTCAGATTGTCACTTCTTGAAAAAATAATGAATGTGTGGAACTCCCTTTGTTTTTTTTTTTCTTGCCATCAAGAGCCTCTCCATAAATGGGGGTAAGGCGTGCCGACATTCACCTTTCCCAGACCCTGCGTAAAGCGGGAGCCTTGTGCACTGGGTACGACCTAATCAAGAGGGTAACTCCAATATGATTTGTTCTTATAGTAATCCCATATAAGGATTGAAACTGAGCCTCATATGTGATTTCCTTCTAAGTAGCTGGATGGTGCATAACTTGCCTGTGTTCAGGTTCATGCCAAGCTCATGCTTCTTGTGGCCGATTGTTATAAGTTCTGTTTAGATTGAAAGAAGAATCGTTTTGTATAAATTCCCTAACGAGCTACATCAGTCACGTGAGAACCATTATCTAATTCTTAAGATGTATCAGATTCTTGATTTTGGATTGTCATTTCTTAGAACTTCCTTTGTTTCGTGTTTATGCGATTAAGAGGGTGACTCAATCTAATTTTCTCTTTTAGTAATGTCAGATAAGATTTAAGAAAATTGGTTGATTTTTAGATAGTAGCTGAAAGGTGCAACATGCTTCTTATTGTCGATTGTTATAACTTCTAAATTTTTTTTGTTCTGGCATTGAACTTCTAAAAGCTATTTGCCAAGTGAGGTGGCGAGTAATGCACAACAGAAGTGAATTTATTTTTCATGGGTTTAGTAAACTTGTGCAGATGGATTGTACACAACCTGGATGGTTACTTTCAAATCCGTGCTGAAGATGCAGTGACAAGAACAGGAGTTGATGTGACTAATGCAGTTTTTACTCAAAAGCTTAGTGTGGTTGTAACAGAAAATCAGCTGGAGTTCTTTTCCTAGCTTCCCTTAATGTATGGTAATTCTCTTGTCAGCTGGACCTAGTATATATAAAGCCCTATCTTTTTCCGGCTTCCGACTGATTTACTTACTGCTTTGCATTTGGGATTAGTTCATTCCATTTCCAGCTGCATCTTCCTTTCTCTGTAGTGCTTCTGAGAATTCGATTTCGCATATACAAAAACTGCAGCTTCTGTTTGTGAAGCTTTTGATTTGCATAATTAAAGCTTGTGGTCAACCGAAAACTAAAAGGGAAGCCCCCTGTGCCATGGCCAAGCTTTAACTACCAGTTGTAACAATGGAACGGCTTTGTATATGCCTAATTAAATGCTGAATTCCTTGGATACTTTCGCCTAGTTTGATGATGGTGAAATCACTTACCGTCGGATTTACTAATCGGTGAATACCGCTTCTGAAAAACTTGAGCTTCCTAAAAACAACTAGTCAAGCAAAATAGTGAAGTAAGGTTGACTGAAAGTATGACTGATAAGGAAGGAGTCTGATGTAAGAAAAGGTTGAATGAAATGGAGTAATATTCCAATAAACCAACATGTTTGCACGCATGCTTAAATCTACTGAAATAATAAATCAACACAATTTACATCGACCTGAACAAAATACAAGCAACCCAAAAACAAGAAAATATTAGACTATACAAAAACAAACACAAACACAAACAGAGAAACTGAGAGGCATTAAAGACAGTGCCCATGATTCTATTCACAATCAACATTTGGAACATGAGAAATCTTTTGCCAATCTTCTCCTGTGTCGCGCTGGCATCTCCTCTCCAGATCAGGACACTTTCTGATTCTAAGTGTTGTTAAGGCAGTGAGGCGATGCATCTTCTCTGGCAAAGACAACAGTTTGGAACATGATTTGAGGCCAACCATTCTAAGCGATGTGAAACTCGTCAACCACCCAGGTAATGCCTCCAAGTTCTCACAATCCCCAATAACCAAGACTTGTAGTGTGTTTGTGGCTCCTTGAAACCATTCAGGCAATGCCACCATTCGTGGGAATCCTACAATCCCCAATTTTTTGAGCCTTAGTGGAATTACTTGATAGTTTTCCATCACCAAATCAAGTTGTTTACAATTAAGTATGGTCAGAGTGCATAATGACGCAAGATAACTCGTATCATGCGGCAAACACGTTAGATAACTACAATCCTGAATACAAAGATATCGAAGTGATGTCAAGCATCCCACTCCATTCTCTGGAAAACTTGATTGTTTTGTGGTTAATTCAAGGTATCTAAGGCTGATCAACTTTCTCATGTCTCTAGGCAACACTTCAAGATTCACACATCCACCGAGACTCAGACTTTGCAAGCTCTGCAACTCACAAAATGAATTGGGTAGTTCGGTGATTCCTTCACTTTGATAGAAGTCCAGGCTTCTCAAATGCTTCAAAGAACCAATGGAATTTGGCAACACTTCCACTGATACATTGACAAACTTAAGCACCCGCAGATATATGAATCTTGAAATGCATGTGCAGAGGAAGGATCCATCAATAGTTATACAACTCGGTACCTCGCACTTTGTTCAACTTTTGCAAGGCTGTTGAAACATTTTGGCCAATTTCCAAAATTGTAAGATGCCTAACATTTTCAGGGATGCCTTTGGTGCATGCAGAGTCTACTGTAAAACTCTCACCTTGTGTGACTAACTGTACAAGGTCGTGGATGAGATCATGCATATCAAAATTATAGAAGAAAATGTGATCATTAACATTTTGAAAGAAAGATCTCTCCCATAACTCGTTGAAATATAGCTCACCAACATCTTCCAACTCCATATTCCCATGATCACGAGATTCAAGGATTCCATGTGCCATCCAATGATTGATCACTTCCCTGCTATCAAATTCAATGTAATTCTTTGAAAGAATTGAACAAGAAGCAAGACACTGTTTCAAATGAGAGGGCAATTGAGTATAACTCACTCTCAAAGCAGGTAGAATGTGACCAGCTCCATCTCGTTCTAGTTCCCATATCTCAGAATCTCTAATCAATCTCCATTGACGGTCATCAGTCTTTGAGTAAAGTTGACTCCCTAAGGTTTTCACAGCTAAGGGAACCCCTCCGCACTTTCTTACAATATCTTTTCCCATTTCATAAAGGCTTGGATGATGTCTTTCTTGTCCTTCTTTAAATGCACACTTTACAAACAAAGACAAACAATCCTCAAAAGAGAGAATGTCTAAATTTATGTTTCCAACTGTCCCCATGATTGAAGCAACTGAGATATTCCGTGTCGTCACCAAAATCTTAGTTCCCACCTTGGCCCCCTCTATCAATAAATCTCTCAACTCGCTCCATTTGATACAATCTTCGTTCCACACATCATCCAAGACAAGTAGAAATTTCTTATCCTTTAAAGCGTCTCGTAGTTGTTCTTGTAACTGATCCAGAGACGACCCTTCACTGATCTTCGTACCTAATGCAGAGCCGAGGATCTCTCTTGTCAATCTAGTAACATCAAAGTCCACTGTCACAGACTGCCACATTCTTAATTCAAAACTCCCAACGACTCTCTCATCATTGTACACCAACTTCGCAAGTGTGGTCTTCCCTAAACCTCCAAATCCCACTATCGGAATAACAGATACATTCCCATTATCCTCACTTTGATGATCATTGCCTTGTACCATTAGAAGATCAACAACCTTATTTTTTTCTGTTTCTCTACCAATAACCTCCGAAGCACGGACAAAGGAGTGGGTCGTATTCCTATTCTCCCTCCCATGATCACCGTGATGAGGGTGATAATGAACAGTGCGAAGATCAGCAAAATTCTTATCGTCTTTAAGCTCATGTAACCTTTCTCTTATCTTCTTAATTCCATGACCTACTCGCAAGCGGAATGCAACTGGATTAGAGCGGGAAAAGAAATGGCGTACCTTTCTATTTGTGCCACTGCCATGAACCACTTGCCTTCGCAAAGCTTCGCACTCAAACTCGTCCAACAGATCCTCCGCATCAAGGAACACATCTTTAAGTTGTTGTAGCCAACTGCGTAGCTCACTGTTATGTGCTTGCTTCTCTTCGGCATCCAAGAGGACGTCTTTGATGGTCGACATGGTGCTTCCAAGCTTCTGCACATTCGCTTTAACGCCCCACGCCAAGCAAATCTCCTCAGAAGCAATGGAGATGAGCTTTTCAATGAGTCTGTTTGCCAACGAAAATGCAAGGTCATCCATCTTCTTTCTTTCTTTCTTGATGAGGTAAGTGCAGGGGAATTGAGATAGTACGAAAGATAATGATGATGCCTCCTTATGATAAGGTATGCAGAAAAGCAATGGACGATATAGTATGAAAGATAATGATGATGTCTCCTTATGATAAGGTACGTAAAAAAGCAATGGACTGTAAGTAGTCAAGGTGGGTCTAACAGCCCAGTTCCATCTGGTTTCTTGTCATAACAAATTGAGTTGTCTAAGAACATTACGAGTTCACCTAAGATTTTGCTTAGATGTATTAACACACAAGAAATATGATTAACTCACCTCAATTTTGTCCCAACACGCCCACTATATGCATATATACATATGTATCGTTAAAAAAGTTGTGGAATAACACCACATGTTGTCCCTCACTTTAGACACATATTTTGACATTCATTTTAGACACATAGTTTGACACCCATTTTGTAGGGTCTACTTTGTAATATTTTCAACGATCCGAATCATCTATATTTTAGTATATCATTCATAAATCATTCTTGCAAAAAAATAAGATAAATCCAAAATCATTAAAATATTCATTTGTATTGAAAAAAAAAAAAGATGAATATGGTTCAATAAAGCCACACACTATATATATATATGGGTTTCGTAAATTTGTGCAAATGGAACTGTACAGAGCCTGGATGATTACTTTGAGATCCGTGCTACAGATGCAGTGACAAGAACATGTGTTGATATAACCAATGTAGTTTTTACTCAAAAGCTTGGTGTGGTTGTAACAAAAATCAGCTACAGGAGTTCTTATTTTGGCTGCCAAATGAGTTTCTCACTCGATCGCATTTCGGATTAGTTCATTCCGACTGAGTTACTTCCTACTAGTATTTTGGTCTCGTCCTCCGATGTGGGTTATGTCAATTAATCACTTGGTCTAGTCATCTTAACTAAAGAATTTCTCCTACCATAGGTGTTTGGTTTGACAATATAGTCGACTAAAGAAAAATTGACAAAAGGAACAAAGGTTCGTTCCTACTAACAGAGAGTCACTTATTTTTCTCTTGGAAAATGATTCACTCCTATTTTTTTTTCTTCTGCACTCTACCCTTTGCAAGGCTTTTAATTTACTTAATGCAACGGTTAGGATTAAAAAAAAAATGTGTATTTGGATCAAAACTTGAACTTTGGGCTCAAGAAAGGAGCTGGCCCAAAAGGAGGCCCGAAGGGAAAGACAGCCGAAGCCCAGTCAAAGCCCAGAAAGCAGAAAGGGCCTTTTCTGACTTGGTACAGCTCATGAAGACCACTTGCTTACCTACCCAAAGGCCAAGTGGTATAGACTGACCAGCTACACAGCCCATAAAGTACTTTATGATGGCAGTACATGTAAAATAGCTGATGAGTCATCACCCTTCAAACCGCATTCGGGCAAGGTTGCTGCTACAGGAGACCAAGCCAAGTTGTCTATATAAGAAGAAAGAGAAACCAGGAATAAGGACACTCAATCAAACAAACAAATGCAAGCACAAACTCTGCTCAAAGCCAGATTTGCCTTCAAAACGAAGCTGTAGTCAGCCCAAGCCTTCATCCCTCTCGGGACAAGCCTTCATCCCTCGCGGGATAAACCTTCATTTAAACCCTTATAATAGCTCTGCTACCTTGTTCAACCTTGTTGTAGTATCGATTCATCTTTTGTAAATCTCTCTCTCTCCCTGAAGCTTTCATACCTTTGATAAACAACAAAGATAGGAACCTGCAAGACGACCAGGCTTGCCCGACAAGGTTAAACCTTGCCCGACCTTCTTTGTTTTTGTCTTTTCATTCATTAGCCTAGCAATATGTTGTATACTTCCAGTTATATTCAAGTTATTTCTAGCAAGATGACTATTAAAAGGCTTTCTCAGTACTTGGATCCGATTTGAATATATCTTCAGTGTTCAAACCAGATCCAAGTCCTAAGCCCTCGGGCATGTAAATCTGATTAGTTAAAAGTCCTTGGCCTTAAGGCATAAAAAAGAACCTTATGTGGACTTAACCCATCCACGACAATCCTTGATAAACGAGAAGTCCGAAGTTACTTGGGGCGCAAGTAATCGACCTACCTCTTAGTCTTATTTCTATTACATTATGATTATCATAGAACGCTTAAGCATGGGAAGGATTCTGATAGGAAGCCTCAAGGCCTACATCTAAGGCCCCACGAAGGCACCTATTTGGATTCATTCCGTTCTGCGGTCTAGAACGTTTGAGTATAAGAACGAACTGTAATAGGAAGCCTCAAGGCCTACACCTAAGGCCCTACAAAGGCACCTATTTGGGTTCATTCTACCTCTCGAACTCGGGTAATCAGAAGTATAATAGTTATAAGACTCATGCATTCACAAGAACAAATATGATGTGTTCGAGCACTGGTTTAGTTATTGATAGGAAGCATCAAGGCCTACACCTAAGGCCCCACAAAGGCACCTGTTATAACTAACACGATTTCTCGGGTATATACATATACAACCAAAACTCGACATCCATTTCACATCTGCCATACTAAAGATGGCAGTGGCACGCCTGAGCACTTAAAAGTTAACCTTGATTGTGAGCCTCAAGGCCTATACCTAAGGCCCCACAAAGGCACCTCTCAAAGTTAACTATGTCCTTCTCTTTCAGCCTTGCCCGACGAGCCTTGCCCGAAGAGTCTTGCCCGACGAGACTTGCCCGACAAAGCCCGACAGTGAAGCAGAAGCCCGACAGCAGCCCTCAACCGGTGCCAACCTCCCTGGGAGCTGTGTGCTCGTCGACCAGGAAACATCCCCGACGGAAATTCCTGACGCGAACAAGGTGCAGTAAGATTTCCCTTTCTGCTTAGGCTATCTCCAACTAGGGAAGGCAACAGTTTGATTTAGAGACGGAAATGTTATATCCATCCTTATAACCACGAAAATTAACCATATCCATAACGACTAATTAACCATCGGGTATTATCCATAACTATACTCATCGGGTAGCGAATTTCGCATCGGTTAACAGTTATACCCATCTTCATCAATACAAAAAATATATTCGTTCAATTGACTCATGATAATTTAGTAAATATTAATTTCATCATTATATGTTTGTTATATAAAATGATTTAATGAATGGATCTTGTGGAGCATAAAAATTAAAGCTAAACATTGATAATGTTGGCTGATGTTTGATATCTCCTATAAGTACTATTGGTTTGGATTCTCGTAGATTTTGATTCATATCAAAACTTTTTAACTTACCCACAAAATGCAACTCACATAGTTCAACTTTTGTATTCTCAAGGTAATGGATTGAGTGAATAATAAATATATACATATATATATACACACACACTATATAATACAATTATATTATATATAAATACTATTATATGTATATAATTATATTATATATAATTCAGTTCGGATTCGGGAACGGATACGGATTGGGGACACCTATAACCATATCCAAAATCATAACTAAATATTATTCACGGTTTTTCCCTATATCCAAAATATACCCGAAGTTTCATACCCAAATCCAATCCATTCGGGCGGTTATCCACGGTTATCGAGTTTAATTGTTAGAATTGTCATCCCTATCTCCAACCCAAGGGTCTGAAATCTCATATTTTAGCCCCGCATTTTGAACTATTCCTCTATAAATATGAGGTTAGGCAGTTTTTTCCTCCAACGGTAGTGGACCTATAATTCCCACCTCCAACTTTATAATTTGTTAAAATTTTGTATTTCATTGATTTCATTTTTTTTTTTTTTTTTTTTGTCTAGGATTTTGTGGAATTAATTTTTGTATAATCTGTTTTGTTTTATTTTTACGAACATTTTGATGTAAGAAAAAAAATTCAAATTACAAACCTTTTGAGAAAATTGAACTTTTCATGGATTGGTATTCATAGAGTTTTGGTGTCGATCTGATTTTGATTGATTAATAATATTATTTTGACCGTTAGATTTAAGTTTGAGCCATTGGATCTTTTACTTTTGCCATTAAAATTGATTAAATTAGATTTGAGCTGTTATATTTAAAAAAATTAAAAGTTGGAAACAAATTTAAAGCTGACTTTTGAACGGCAATGTGAAGTTGTGAGCATCAGCATCCATGGATTTGGGGCTCAATTTTTTGTTGATTTCGACTGGCAATGGAAGTAAATTGAAGAAAAGAAAGAAGACATGATAATTTTACCAAAATAACCTTCTCTCTTAAGCTTTAATACAAGCCACATTAGCACATACTTTCATATTTTGACGGAATAGACGGAATCTAGATAACATTGAGCAAAAATTGAATTTTAAGGGGCAAAATGACGATATTTTTACTATAGAAAAAAATGAGATTAAGTTTAAAGTTCAAGATGTTGTAATATTATAAGCCATTCAATGTGCGGATGGCCAACCCACTACAATCCCACTCATCCTACTCTGCAGTCCTCCCATTGCAACTTTGTCTAAAGTTTTGCCTATAAAATTGATGAGGAGGATAATAGATATATAGAGAAACAAAAAGCCATATGGCTGAGAGAGAAAGAAAGAAGAGAGGAAGAAGAGAAGAGATAATACAAAGAGTTGTCTTTGTAATCTTATTATTTCAGATTATAAATAAAAGCATCACTGCTGCCATGAGGACGTACTCCAGGCACACTGACTATAGAGGAACCTCGTAAATTTTGTGTATTGTTTCATTCATTCCACTACACACACCGTAGATCATGTTCACCTCTGTCGGCTGAAATCTCACAGATAAGAAAATCTTTTCATTTCATCTTAAAATCTTTGTACAATTAATTTTCTTGAAGTAACTATATATATATATATATATATATATATATATATATATATAATATATATATATAAATTGTTGTATGACTGTATATCATCTTTTGCAGAAGCAAAAGGGTACAGACTAAAAAATTCGTATAGAATCTGACAGCCATGTAAACAACCTCGGAACTCTAACCTGCAGACCTCATATCGAAATACTTTCTCTTCAAAGTTGTTCATCCGCCCAGTACCTACAACATATAAAATTTTTAGAAAATTCCAACGGTTCGATCATCGCAGATGCCTGAAATAACAAACCAGTTTCCAATTTCCGCAGAAAATTGGACAGGCACCTTATG